AAAATAAAAGAGAAGAGAGGGGCTGGAGATATGGCTCAGTGGAATAAGCACTTCCCTGGCAAGCGCAAGGGCCTGAGTTCAAGCCCCAGTTTTCCAAAAATAAATAAATAAATAAAAACAGAAGAGAAGAAAAAACATCATTTTACAGATCCCAGGGGCTGACTGTTGAACCCTGACCTGCCTTTTCCAAACTAATTGGGCATGCTGGGACAGGGGCCCTACACTCCCCACTATCCTTCCCATCAGCCCAGAGGGCAGTAAGACTCCCAGCAGACAATGACCCCAGCTGCCTACACCGACTCAGCAGCTCTCACTGGTTCCCTCTCCTCTGAGAAACAGCCAGTTCCATAGGGAAGGAAGGGGCTTTACCTTCATGATGTCCTCAGGTATCTTCCCTTCCTCATCCTCATCTGTTGCAGCTGTGAACGGGAAGAGCAGAAAGGTTGGCAGGCAGTTAGCCATAGCTGTCCTGCACACACCAGCCTCCCTCTGGGCATGTACCTGTCCCCCCATCCCCAAACAGGGCTTGCCCTCAAACCATGAAGCCATGCCTCTTCTCAGCCCTTCCCTTCCTTCTCTCTCTCTCTTTTTTTTTTTTTTTTCTTTTTTGGTGGAACCAGGGATTGAACTCAGGCCCTTGCACTTGCCAGGGAAGTGCTTATTCCACTGAGCCATCTCCCCGGCCCTTACTTCCTTCTGTTGCTCACTCTCATCACCCTGCTGCAGAGCATTCAGCAGAACTAGCAACCTTTGACCCCTTCCCTCTCCCTATTTCCCCTCCATAGCACTGCAGCCTACCCCAGACTGCCTTCCTGGTACCCAAGGGTTTGCCTCATCCCCATGGGGGTCCCGTCCAGGCTGGGAAATGCCTCATTCAATCAGCTCAGCGGCAGGTGGAGCTTGAGCACATTTTTCTCCCGCAGGAGGCCCCTTCTGGGAGGCCAGGCCCTAGCAGTACAAACCTTCAGAGGTAGAAGGCATGGGTGACACTTGGAAGTTGTACAGGTCACTAGTGCTATCGGGCACGATGTCCACTGGTAGGTGCCAGTCCGAGAGAGTGCTACTGATGGCACATGGTGACAGTGCTAGAGGACAGCAGAAATGGAAGGTCAAGGCTATGTGTTTTGCTAGTCTGCAAGATTTCCAGACCTCACCAGAGCCAGCATGCTCACCTGGAGTAAGGGCCTGCTCCCTGTCCAGGTCCTGCCCCAAGTACCCGTGAGCGGTGTAGCTGCTGTGGTCATCGGGCAGGGTGCAGCTGCTGAGTCCATCAGAGAAGGTGTCAGGGCTGGAGTCCCCACATGACTGCAAGGCAGAAACAGCTCAGGCCCACTGCAGCACTGCTCATCCCACCACTCCGCTCACTCCGAGGGGCCAAAGGTTTGGCTCCCAGGGCTCACACTCACCTTCCTCTTGGCCTTGCTCTTAGTGTCGCGGTTGGACTTGGACTTTCTCTCTATGGGACAGAGAGGCTGCTGTCAGCTTTGGCAGAGGCAAGCCAGCAAGAGGACCTTCTTCCTCCCTCCCTCCTGAGGGCTTCCGGAGGACCCAGAACCCTTGGCTACCTTTCCTCTGGTTCTTGGTGAGAGGCGGGAGCATCCGGTACACCCGCACAGCAGAGCTGCCCTTGTTCCTGCTCTGGTCCTTCACCTCCTCAATGTCTGGCAGGGAGTTCATTGCACATCGAAAGTTGGCCTTCCACGTTTTGGGATCTGGCTCCTTTTCCCCTGCTTTGTATCGGCCTGGAGAGCAAGAGTGAGGGTCATGCATCATCAGCTGCCCTTGGCTTGGGAGGCAGAAGGCAAGACACTCAGAGTGGTGAAACCAGCAGGTATTCCTGGGCTACTGTGCAAGCCCTTGGCCTTGGGGCTCCTCCATCATCCAGGCTTGGCTTAAACACCCAGCAGGCTCAGTGAAGGGCCCAACCAAAAGTTCTAAGAGTGCTCCTAGCCCCCAAGTATGCTATCTTCTGTAGCAAGTTGTCTCCCCGATTGTACCACCAGCAGCCAGTGGTAGGAGACCCAGGCTGCTCTGGTATTCCCAAACTCGGATTGGGCAGAGTGGGTGGTAAGGGACACCTGCTAATAGGTGGCTTGACTGTCCCAAGTTGGGTCAAGAGTCCCATCTCTCAGGGATAAAAGGAGTCTACCAATCAGGACCCTGGGCCAAGAACCATGGGCAACATTTGGAAAAAGGAAGATCTGGATCTCTTGCAGGATCCTGGCTCACATCTGCTCTCTCCAGGGAGAATTTTTTTTTTTCGGAACCAGGGATTGAACTCAGGCCTTTGCGTTTGCCAGGCAAGTGCTTATTCTACTGAGCCATCTACCCGGCCCCTCCAGGGAGAACTTTAATGTAGCCACTGACTATAGGAACTGAAATGATGGATTTAGTCTTCCAGAAACAAGTCTTCCCAAGCTTCCCCTGTCATTCTGCATACTAAGGCTCCCAGAGCTTCTGTATAATGGCAGTGCCTCCCTGTCAGGCCACACTCCCGCCCACCCCCAGCTGCAGTCCCAAGGACGCACCTGTGTGAATGGCCCAGCTGCGGAAGAGACAGGCATCCTTATTGATGTCCCAGCCATGCTTGGCTGCGTGCTTCCATGGGATCTGGAAGATCATCTCCTCCTGAACGAGACACACACAGGCTGGTCAGCTGAGACCACACACAGGCTCTGTAGTGGCACGTGCCCAGCCCCTCAGCTCTGGGAAAAGGCTGACTTCCCCTTTTTACCCTGCCATCTGTCATGGGTCGACCTGTCTTGAGAGTGGCTTAAACAGGCCACTCTAGAGCTCTCAGGAGGGTCCCGCATTCTGACAAACTGTGATAGCATCAGCTTGGCCCAGCCCTGTCAGCCTGACAGATGTGCTGGGACCACATAAGGCAGCCTCCCTAGAGCCCTAGTCTGGACACTCTGGGGTGCTTCTCTGGCTTGTCAGCACCAACGTGGAAGAACAGGACACCTGGGATCACCAGCTCCTACACACCTTTGAGGGCCTCTTGGGCCAGATTTGAATGCTGTGTGACCCTGGTACTATATCTCCTGGACCCCCAATTTCCTCCTCAGAAACAAAAACCAGCACTGCTATAAGGAAACAATGACACAAGGCAGGGACATACTGAGCAAGGTGCCAGACACAGTAACTGTTAGCTATGATTATTACTATCATTCCCAGCAAGTCTACAGACTTTATGTTGCCCAAGTACACCAGGGATATAAGTTTCTGCAACCAGAGTAACTGGTGCAAAATTAATTCCCGAGTCTCTGCTGAGCTGGCCACTGTCCTGCCTGGCCACACCCATGAGGAACAACAGGTCTTCGAGGGAGACTACCTAAGCTTTAAAGCTGTTTCAGGACTCCTGCAGCTGGAAAGGCTTAAGAGCCTTTCTTTAGGTGGGTGTCCTCTGGACATACTGAAATGGGAAAGAGGAAGGAGCCTCCGGGCAAGCAGGCACAAGTCTGGCCCTTGCATGTAAGACCAATAGAAGCGTCCCTGTCTGCCTCATTATCTCCCCTTGTAGAGCTCCGGTTAAAAGGTAGCAGAAAACCCCAGAGTTACACTCACTTTATTAATCCAGATCAGCCCTGGGATTTGGTTGGAATTAATCTGCATCTCTAGCCAGGGTCTCATGCGCATCCGAGTGATGGGCATGTTGGCTGTAAAGAGAAGACAGAAGGCTCCCGTTTGGAGTGTGTTGAGCAGTCCCTGGGCATTACCCGGTGCCACCCAAGGTTACTTAGTTACCCTCCCCCCTCAGCTGGGTACCTGGTCCTAACGATCACCGGGAAGAGAGCTTCACCGGGAAGAGAGCGGCACTGCAATAAATCGGCCCTCCAAATCCTGGAGAGCCGGGCATGGTGGCCCACGCTTGTAATCCCAGCACTCAGGAGGCTGGGCAGAAAGACTGCCACAAATTCGAGGCCAGCCTGGGCTACACAGTGAGTTCAAAGCTAGCCTGAACGACATAGCAAGACCCCGTCTCAAAAGGAAAAAAAAGAAATTCTGGGAGAGCAACTTGGGCGAAACACCTACCCCTTCTCTCCCCTCCGAGCCACTGGCAGGAAGGCACTGGCGTGCAAGCGACTGCCTCAGGATTTATGTGCAGAGCAAGACGCAAAAATGCAGATACCTTAATACCAAAACTTTTCTCTAAAAATTCAAATTCTTTGATGACGGAGAGGCTTTTTTGCTTGTTTCCAAGAAGAAATGACTTGAGTTGTTGCTGCTAACTATGCGCGTTGCCTAACCGGCCAGTGGTCACCCTACATCCTGGATACCTCCCCCACCTACGCCCCCCACCAGTTCTGTGCCTTGCCAAGAGCCAGAATGCCCGCAACCCTGAGGCCGGGACACAATCCCTTCCGGAAAGGCCTGGTCTCCATTCCTCGAGGGAAATGGCCCAAAGAACACCTGTGGCGTCTCCGCCTGCAGCCCCCTTAAGAAGTGCTCCTCCAGCCACTCAGGGCAGCGAGCATACGAAGCCTGAAATCTGAGGGGCCTGGGACCTGGCTGGGACTGCCGAAAGCCGGCGCTAGAACACAGCGCCACCCGAGTCCACGGCGTGCACTGTGGATGCGCACGAAGGTCGCACCCGGCCACCTAGAGGCCGGGCAGCTGAGCTCACGCAGCTCGCAAAGGCAGCCGGCCCGCGAGCTCGGGCAGTGGGCGGTCCACGCCGCGGCCCGCCCTCCCCAGCCGCCGCTCCAGCGCCCTCGCGAGCCCGCGCGCCCGCGACTCCCCGGCCAGGCTCGGCCCCCACTTCCTGGTGTCCCGCGCGCCTTTTGTTCGACGCCGCGGTTCCCCGCAGCGAAGGCGCGCTCACCTCGGCAGCAAGGGCGATCCGCGGGCTGCACCCAAGGGTCCCGGCGAGGCGGGGGCTGCAAGGCTGGTACGCGGAGCGGGAAGGCAGAGGATGCGCGGATCCTGGGGCCGCGGGGCACGGGGGGTCTCGGCTGGGCGCGACTCCCGCTGGCCTCGGCTTGGCTTGGCTTGGCTTGGCTCGACTGGACTCGACTCTACCCGACCTGGCTGGGCGCACGTCCTGCACCGACGAAAGAGTGGCGCGCTCTGCCTGGCCGCTGCGCCGAAGAGCGGTCTAAACACTAGCGGGATTCCCCGAGCCCGGCCCGGCCCCGCCCCCCGAGCCGCGCGCGCGCGCCCATTGGCCGGCGCCGCCCCGTCATTTCGGGGAAATCAGGCTGTTGTAGAGCTAAGCTGGGAAGGGGAAGTACAGGGCGGCTGCTCCTCCCCGCCCCCTCCGCCAGCGCCGCCGCCCCGGGGCCACCGAGGGCCCGCCCCGCGCGCGCCCACTGCACCCCGCTCGGCCCGCCCTGGAAAGGCTGTCCTGGAAAGCCAAGCGCCCTCGGCCCACCTCCTCATCCAGCTGGCTCCTGGGGCCTCTCGGGGACATCTAGCTCCTGAGCGCAGGGAGAGGTCACCTGGGCACCTGCCGCCTTGAAAACCAGCCTGGCTCCCCAAGCCTGCTAACGGGTGCCCAGAAGGGAGAGTTTCCGCCCTTATTGTGCGTCTGTCTTGTCCCCTTCACTCACCTGCTCCCGAAAAGTTAGAAGCCAGAAAATGTACTTTGCCTGTGGGGCTGCTGCGAGAGAGGAAACTCTAATCTGGCAGCTGCGGCCTCGGTGACAAAGGACTCGACCTCCTTTTCCTGGGCTGTAAAATAGCAGTAGCCCGACCTTGTTGGCTGGAGAGTGTAAAAAGATGATCTTTGCAAGCCCCGCATTCCACGTAGGCACTAGATCTTGTGGTTTTCAGGCTCGCCGGCCCCCGCCCGGGGTGCTCAAGGGGACGCCCTCCCCTTGCATCCCTGAGTTCCGGGAAGCTGCGGTGGCCCCTGCCTCACCCACTGCACACCCGCTCTGGGCCCTGCACTGGCACTTCTCCAGTGGCATATTGGTGGTCCTCTGGGTCCCCAAAGCTGGAACCGGGAGGTCTTGGGCAACGTGGAGGAATTGCTCCGGGCTGGCCACGGTCATGGGTCTACCCAAAGAGTTGGTTGCAGTGCCCAGGGCCACGCCCCTTAATCGGGACAGGAACTTAACTCTTGTGCTCACTACACCTCACCCCGGATCCCGCTGGGTGCATTTTGCATCAACTGGCCCTTCAGACTCCATCCTTCCTTCACTTCCCCAAAGCTGCTGACTCGAAGATAAATCTCCTTCAGGTGTGTTATCCTCGCCCAGCTGTCTCCGGGCAGCACCAGTTGCGCAGTTTACAAATAGGACGCCAACCTGTCCATGCTCCCTGCTGCTCTGCCACAGAGCAGCGGGTGGGTCTATCAGTTCTGGTGCGCCCGGACTGAGTGTTGTAGCTTATGTCAAGTCTGGTTCCCAGGAAATGGGGCAAGCAGATGGGGGACAGCTTTTGAGGAAGGAGCCCAGCCCAGGGCTAAGCAGAATGGGAGGTGCTGAAGCCCAAGAGTGGGAGATGGTTTTGGGGGTGCTTTGAGTGACAAGTGAGAGTGAGCATCTGCTGCAAGGACCAGGACCTGAGCAAGAACAGAAAATGAGTGACTTGTGGGTCATGACCTGTGTTCTTGGGGCAGCAGCTGGAGAGTTGCCCTCACCCTGGAGGCCCTGACACAGCCGCTGGGAAATTCAGAATGAGAGGAGGGAGAGAGAAAAAAATGTTCAGACAAGGTCCTGCTCAGAGTTCAAGCTGGCCGTGAATTCACTTATGTGGCCCAGGCTGTCCTCAAACTCATAGTGACCCTCCTGCCTCAGCCTCCTGAGTGCTGGGATTAGAGATATGTACCATCATTTCAGGCAAGAGAGAAAAAATTTTTAATTTTATCAGCCTTAGAAATTGACACTAGTGGGGGCCGAGGAGATAGCTCAGTAGAATAAGCTTGCCTGAGCACAAAGGCCTGAGTTCAATTCTCGGTTCCACAAAAAAAAAAAAAAGAAAGAAAGAAAGAAAGAAAGAAAGAAAGAAAGAAAGAAAGAAAGAAATTGACACTAGTAAATAAATATATAAAGTTTTAAAAACTGAAATTAACAGGGACCCTGTGGAGGCAACAGATTATGAAAGTGCTTTCAAACAAACATTTTATATTAATTCATAGATAATTCACGGTATAATGTATGTATAATGAGACTTTATATGCTGTTAAACATACATGTGCAATTTTATTTGTAATGGGTCCATATTCTCTTTTATAAAAGACTAAATGAAAGTTTACCCAATTAATCCCCTATTGTAGGACAATTAGGTTATTTCCATTTCTTCCACAATATTAACAACAATGTTAGCTAAATCTTTGCAGATATCAATCATTTTTGGCTTAGGAAAAATTCCCCAGTATTAGGATTTACCAGTGAAACTGTCATTTACATCTTGGAAGTGTCCCCCCTCCCCTTTAACACTAGGGATTCTTATTTTATTTTGAAACCTGTAAGGATCTGCTTATTCCTTGTGGTGGCAACATCTCTATAATACCAGCATTCTGGGAGGCTGAGGCATGAGAATCTCAAATTCAAGCCCAGCCTGGGAAATTTAGCAGGGATCTGTCTCAAAATAAAGAAAAAAGGCTGAAGTGGGGCCGGGGAGATGGCTCAGTGGAATAAGCGCTTCCTTGGCAAGTGCAAGAGCCTGAGTTCAATCCCTGGTTCTGCCCAAAAAATAACTAAATAAATAAAATAAAATGTTTAAAGAAAGAAAAAAACTAACCCTCTTTGCGTTTCCGCTGTGCGCCTCCCCTTTTTTCTCTCTCCCTCCTCTCATTCTGAATTTCCTAGCGGCTGTGTCAGGTGTCAGGGTCTCCAGGGTCAGGGCAACTCTCCAGCTGCTGCCCCAAGAACACAGGTCATGACCCACGAGTCACTCATTTTCTGTTCTTTTCAGGTCCTGGTCCCTGCGGCAGGTACTCACTCTCACTTGGCACTCAAAGCACCCCCAAACCCATCTCCCACTCCCAGGCCTCTGTGCCTCCCATTCTGCTTAGCCCTGGACTGGGTCCTCCTCTTTTAAACCCCTGCTCAGCCCAGCCCCTGTGGTCCCCCAGCTCTGTCCCCACAGGACTCTCCAGTCCTCAGCAGTAACCAGAGGAGAGTGGAAGAGAACACACACGTCGCTGCAGCTTGGAGTCTGTTGTACTTTTGCCACTTGCTGTATAATTTAAAAGAACTTGCTGTGCGTCTGTCTCTGTCTCTGTCTCTGGTCTATAAACTAGAGCTAATTTCTGCCCATTTCTCTTACTTGTGAAGATCACCTTGCCCACTGTCCCGACTGTTGACTGCAGGGGTCCCACAGACCAAACCAAAATGGAGTCACTCATGCTAAATGGCACATAATTAACTGAAAACTTAAGAAGCAGTCAGACCCCAAATCAGATCGCATTTTCCTAAAAACAGGAGATTCTAATTACCCAAATCAGCACAACAAGGAAGTCTCTTCTGCTCCATAACCTGAACTACCTTGGTGCTGCCGGCCGGCCGGGCGGGTGTTTTCCCCATGTTGTAGTATTTCCTCGTTCCCGGTCCAGGAAGCCCACTCTTCTGCTGTTACCTCGCAGGGGCTCCCATTCTGTTTTGGAGAATGAAAGCTGTCCAGCTGATGAATTAGAAGCCAGGGCTGGTGAGATGGCTCAGTGGTCTAAAGCACCTATTTAGAACAAGCTTAGCAAAGCACAGGGACCACGGTTCAATCCCCCAGCACCACATGCCAGCCCGCCCCCTGGTGGGCTGAGCTGGCCACACACACATAAATAAATAAAATAAATTGATTTTAAAAAAGAAATAGAAGTCAATTAGACCTAAAATTAAACATGTAGTTTTGTTTTGTTTTGTTTTTGGTACGGGGACCTGGCTGGATTAGTATACTTTCAAAATCCTTTCCAGGGGCCAGGCAGATGGCTCAGTAGAATAAGAGCTTCCCTGACAAGCCCAAGGGCCTGAGTTCAATCCCTGGTTCTGGAAAAAACAAAACCAAACCAACAAAAATACCCCAAAACAAAAAAACCCACACACACACCACAAAAACCTTTCCTAACTGAGAGGAAAACATGCGGGTCTGGAATATGCTAACAGAAATGTACCAACTTTTCGCGGCACTTCTCCGACACCGGCTTGGTTGCCTCCCCCTCCGGCCCCGCTGCCTCCTTCTCCCCATCCCTATCTTCCCCCTACAGAGCGGCAGGCACGTCTTCCGCTCCTTCTCTCTCCACACATCCCATTTTCTGGCTTAAGGCCGGAGCAAACTGCAGGCTTCTAAAAGGTAGAAACCCTCACGCTGCCCACCCGAAGGCCCCTACCCCGCCCCAGAACGCCTTAGCCTTTCTCTTTCATATGTGTGTCTTCGCCCTTTGTCATCTGAGGGGTGGGCTGAGGACCAAATCTGCATTTTGTCTGTGGGAAACAGCAGGTTCCTCACACCTTGCTCCTGGATTTAGCCGGGATTAACCGAGGGTGACGCCCACCTCACTCTCTCTTGTCCAATCGGCTCAATTGAGATTCAGAAGCCAGGGAGTGAGAGCAGCATTTACACCTGCGGGGCCCACTCCTCCCCCAGGGACCCCATGTCCTGACACTGTCGCGTTGGTCCTAGCAGTCCCCGCTCGGGAAATCTTTCAGTGGATGTGTTATTAATTCTCCCTGATAGGGGCCAGGGAGATGGCTCAGTAGAATAAGCGCTTGCCTGGCAAGCTCAAGGGCCTGAGTTCAATCCCGGTTCCGGAAGGGAAAAAAAAAAACAAAAAAAAACCTCTCTGATAGCGTTTCTTGGTAACCCGTACTCAGGTCATTTGCCGTTTGGAGTGCGTGCAGCCGGGAACGCCCACAAGTCAGCCCTCCCGAGGCTGGCGCTCCAACGCAGCCGAACCCTCGGCCTCTAAGGTTCAGAGAGGGGACGCTCAAAGCCCCTTCCTGCTGTCGTCTATGTTCCCAGTAAACCTGCGAGGCAGATAATTTCAAACTGTGAAGTGCGACTTAAAAACTTGAAGAAAGAATCCGGGCCCAAGCCGGGTGTGGTGACGCTGGAGGCTGAGGCAGAAAGATCGCTGGCTTGGGATAGAAAAGAGTTCAAGAACAGAAGGCCGGGGAGATGGCTCAGGAGAATAAGCGCCTGCCTGCAGAAGGCCGGGGAGATGGCTCAGGAGAACAAG